AAATATGGATGATACTTCTAATATCACGTTTGTGTGGATCCAAATATTTTCATATATATATATATATGAAAATTGATTTATCATTTTGTGTTTAAAAGTATTTTAAAAGAAGAACTAGAAATATATCATATTAACAAAGAAATTTACATTTAATTACATTATATTTCTCTTCTATTGTTAAACGACTAACTAATAACATGCCATGTTAAATTTAGTTTATGTTCATAGGAATTAATCCTATATCTTTTGCTCTACTCCGACTATTTCCTTTGTTGTATCTTATTCCTAGAGAAGTCCTAGCAAAAGTTATGGGATAAGAATCTATTTCAATAAACTATTCTAGAAGAACTTGTAGAAGAGCAAATATGAAAGAAAAATGAAATAAGTTGTTCATGAATTAAAATAGTTTATGTATAAACTATTTTTGTAGAAGTTTTCTCCTATTAATTTCTCTATAATCTTATTTTTAAATCATGCACAAACTAGTTTTTATTAATGGAGAAGCTTATTTTAATTTTTTAATTTCTAGAAAAGTTTATTCAAGAAATTTCAAAGAAAAAGCTAAATCCCATAACGTTTGTTGCTAGCCCAACTAACAAGCTGAATGCTTTAGCCCATCAGCTAAATGAAACTATGTGTGGCCCAGTTAGCCCAACCATAAAAAAGAACCCTGGGACTAACATTTGGGCCGCCCTTTCCGTACATAATTAACCCATCGGGTATGGGATATTTGGAACCATTGTTAGTTCGCTAATGATATATACACCTTTTTTTTTTTTTTTTTTAAGTATCCCTTTTTTTTTTTTTAAAAAAAGTCTTAAAATATTCATAATTTTTTTTTATTCTTTAAATTTTTAATTTTACATCTCTAACTTTCAATTTATTATTTTTTTCTTTACACACCTCCTTCCTTATCTTTTACAGTTTTCACATGCATTATTTTGTCTTCCTCTAATTCCTTACCTATTTCAGTGGGTAGTTTTAGTTCTCTCGATTTTTATATTACTCTTTATTTTCTCACCTCTTTCACTTTTTTACATGCACCCAAATCATAAAACTGATAGACAACAACATTGTAGGTACGTGTAGCTTCTTCAAGAGTTTCTATCAAATTAGACACATTTTTTCTTCCAACACTTCCTTTCATTTCACCCCTCCAAAAACCTTAACATTAAGTTTAGTGTTATAAAAAAGACATTTTCACTATTCTAGAGTACTATGTAGATAGTAAAATCAGTGAGAAAACTAAAAGAGAAGGGGAAAAAGATTAATGTAAAACTAAAAGAATTAAAATTACTTACCAAAATAGATGGGGAAGAAAAATTAAAGGGTACATGTGAAAATAAGGGAAATG